CCCCAAAACCCCAAAACCCCAAAACCCCGAGGTGTTCAAAACAAATAGAAAATAGTTTTAGCAAATAAATTTAGTCTAAAATTATCTGAAAATTAACAAACATACTTTTATTAATAAGAATTATTCAGATCAACATGAGAGTTCTCCAGAATATATGCTGAGTGGAAATAGCCACAAGAAATTGATGAAATTTTGGATGGAAGAGAGATTTCTGTAGGCTCTTCTTGGTCTTCACGAGACGAGGTAGGAAGTTGGTGGTAGAAACCAAATCCCCAAGCATAGAGCTTCTTCTTGTTCGAGATAGCATAAGTATGTCTTCCTCATGTATCAATATCAATTATTTTTACATTCTTATGCTTGAAGTACTGAATCATTGCAGGCTTTGACAAGTTTACACAATTTTCATGTCCTAATCTTCCATAATTACCTTGGCCACAAGTGTAAACGCTTCCATTAAGTGACAAGAATACAGAGAACCCATCTCCAGCTTTGACTTTGATTCATCTATCTTCGTCATTTGCTAAGAAATAGTGAGCAAAGTAGGGTAGCTCAGCTTTTTCTGGGTGATAATAAGGGTCTCCAAGTTGACCTTTGGATGAATCCCCTGATGCATATACAACACCTTTATCATCTCAGAAGAGTGTGTGGTCGTGACCACATGATACATCAACAATTCTGGTATTTTCAAGAGCTTTGTATCTCGCAGGTTTGTTCACATCTTTAGATTTCATTGAAAGTTTGTAGTAAGTAGTCTTTTTGCAAAGCCTGCTGTCTGGGTTAGCACCCCAGGTATACAGCTGTGAGTTATTGTCAATCATTGCAGAGTGAGAATGACCAGCACTCACTTTATCAACTGGGTTTGATAGCGATTTCTCAACCAGAGTTGGAACATTTCTGTCTTTGAAATCACCAAGTCCTAGCTGGCCGTTTATGTTTTGTCCCCAAGAGTACAAATACCCAGATGCTGTCACTGCAAGAGTATGTTGCCACCCACAGCTGATCCCACTAATTTTGATTTTCTTGAGAGGCAGAGCAAGTAATGATGGAACTCTCTGATTGATGACTTCCCCTTGTCCAAGTTGGCCACTAGAAGAACTTCCCCAAGTATAAGCAATACCTTCCATACTGATTCCTGAGCTATGATGGTACCCAAGTTTGATATCTTTAAAAGGGATTTTGAGTTTAGTTGGATGCTTCATGAATTGTGAGTCTTGATCTGTTCCACATCTACCTTCTCTATTGTCGCCCAGCATATAAGTATTATACTCCTTTTTAACATAATTGGGCTTAATTCTCTTTTTCAGACTTTCTTTTATTTCAATTTTATGGTCTTCAGATCTCTGGATGGTGTATTCAAAACATTGTTCATCTTGGTCTGAATCTTCGCATGAATCATCAAGCTCTTCGATCAGGGCATCTTCGAGATGGTCTTCATTTATTTCTCTGTCTTGAGAATTTTGAAGACATAGTGTAGAAGCAAACTCATCATTATCAGAATTCTTCATAAAGTTTCCAATAAGTTTGTCTGGTCGGTTCTCTAGAGAGGGTAACTTGACTGGTAGTTTAGCCTTTGGATGGCTCATTTCTCTCTTCTTCCCAATATCAGGACTTGGGATAGATCCAGAATATTCCTTGACTTCAAAATTTTTAAAGTCTCCCTTCAATAGCTTCGAACTTTCTTGATTGGGTCTTAAGCCTTGGACTATCTTTCTTTTATTCATAAATGAGTTTTCGTTTGACTTCAAGTTCCCTAAGGCCTTCTTAGAGTAAACTTGGGTGTTCTTGATCTTAAATGACTGGTTAGAAACTGAATCCTTTCTCTTGGTAGACAGGTTAATACTTCTCTGTCCTCTTGTTTTTATGCTTGACCGTACGATAATATCCTTTCTTGGAAGTGCCTTCGAAGGAGAGTTTTCCTTAACCGTACTGGAGGAATAACTTGAATCATTCAAAATCTCTTCAGATTTTATCTCCTGTGATGATCCAAGAGAGCCTCTAATGGATGTTGACAACGTATTAGGAGTTTTCATTATTTGGCCCTTAGAGTCTTTCTCTTTTGCTTTCTTTTGGGCATTCTAAAGAGAAACATTTAGATCTAAAGTTTTGTAGGGAAGAACAGTGGATATTTTCAGTAAAATTGTGGTAAAAGGTTTAAAAAGGCTTCTAACCATGCCAAAATTAAGCTGAAAGTACATAAAAATTGGAGAATACATACCCATTTGGTCAACAATTTGACAATTCCTTGCTTCTTCTTTAAAAGAGATGGATTATTTTGAGTATTTTTGCCTTGTCTTTCTCATTCATTTACATGAATCTATAAAAATTAGATTTGAATGCCAAATATTTTACAGTATATTCCTCGATCTCCTCCTTGATCGTATGAGCTTCTTCGTATCTATCAATAAAGGTTTGAATCTTGTTCTTGATAGCCACTTTGGCTCTGAAGAAGTCCATGTATAACTCAAATCTTTGAGAATCTGTAATTAATTAAGAGCCAAAGTACCTTTAATTTTGTAGTCTTTAGTGACTACTTTATACTCCTTGTTTTGCAAGCATTGCCTGAGGTATCCTTCAATCATGTTGAGGAAGAACATATAATCATCATGGTTGCTTTCATCTGTCTGGCATCCCTATAAATATGTAAGAATCGCTTTATAAATGTTGTCAATCCTAGAATTATTGAGTAAAGCATTGGCTAGCATAGAGGTTTAAAATTGAGTTTCAAGAGCCTGATACTAAATATATTAACAGATCTAGGATAAAACAATGTCACTTAGGTATAGTTTTGGCATATTCTAGAGCCTCTTAATATCAAGAACAAGCATGACTTCTTGAAGAGGGTAAGAACTTACTGTGCCTATCAATCAAATTTAGAGAATCGATGAATATTTTATCGTAAAGTCAATGTATGTTAAATGCTCTATTTTTTTCTAAAATGTACAACTAAATAAAGATCTTTTTCTATGAGCAGGTTTCTAAGAGAAGGCAGTTAGCTAATAAATTATCATGAAGAACTATTTAATATGAAATTTATGCCAAATCTAACCTTATTTTATACTTTCTTTGAATTAGATATAGAAGTAAGGGTGAGTGATTCATCTAAAAATTTTTAGAGCTCCTGATAAATTTTGAGAAAATTTCAAAAAGCAGGTATTGTTCTTAGAAAGTCAGACTCTTATTTGACAAGATAAAAGCATTTTGATGGCTACCTCTTCCCAAAACAAGGAGCAAGTCTTGCCAATACAATAAGAGCCCTCTCTTAAATACCTAAAAACACCATAATAAACCACTAACAATCAAAAACATCCATAACACCAAAAAAATCATTAGGGATAGAGATTTAGGAATAAGGGGGACAGGTTTAGTGAGGATAGGCTTTGGATGGAGATGGAATTCTGATGATGAGGTTCGAGGGTTGCTTATTGGTAGATAAGGTAGCTTCTTAGTTTAAGGATAGAAGTTTAAAATGATGATTCTGCAAGTGTTTTTATTAGCATATCTCTCAGAAATTTTCAGCAAAGTCAATTGCTAAATTTTTAAATAAAACTAAGTTGAGCTCTTTGACTCAGAGATTGACATCAATGGCACTTAAGCAGTATGGGAATCAAATTAGCAAGAATAACTTACTGTAGAGCATTGTTGTACTTGAGGAGTAGACACTGATTTGCTCTCTCACTGTACTTCGGTTCGATCATTCTGGCAGCCATCACATTTTATAAAGTGTTTCTTTAGAAATGACTCGATCTGATCTAGTCTCTTGCAATACCGCTTAGAGTCAGAAGGGTTAATCATCTCTTTTGAATTCTTAAACAGATTTAACACATTCAAAATCTCAGTGTCTCACTTTGTACACTTATCCTTAATATCTGAGTAAGATATATAGTCAGGTACCTTGGCTGGTATGCTTTGGAGTTGCGGAACATCCTATGATAAGTTAAAATGTATTCATATTCGGATCAGAAATTATGAAAGAAAATTTATAGCATTTAAAAAATCGAACATCCAAGAGAAAAGAATATTCAAAAAGTAAATATTTAGTTACTTTTAACTGCTTTTTGTAGTCTTCAGTCATTTTTTTTTCTTGCATCATCATTTTATCTTCGTAGTCTCTGATTTGCAGCTTCAAGTCAAAGTTGCTCTGCTTGTGTTGACTCACTTCTTCGTTCAACTGATCAATGTTCCTTTCTATGCATTAAAGTCAACTCATTACCAAGTTTGGAAATCATGGCTTCCATTGCTTTGACTCTCTACACATGACATTGGACTCTTACATTCTGGACGATGTCGTGGTCGTCAATGACTTCGTTGGCTCTAGCTTTGACTTTGATGTTCTTAGCTCTCTTTGCGAACTCGAGCGTAGACACAGTCAGAGGCAAGTGAGCCAAGTTCGGACTCACCGTGCAAATGACGCTAGTCATTGAGTTGCCTCCAAGAGAGTTCTTGAGCAGCTGTGTAAGCTTGGAGTCACGGAACGGAATGTGAGTGCTACATATGAGCTTAAATATGGTACCTCTTGGATTTACCAGCAAGACAGTTGATGACTTTGGAGAGCACAAACAAACTTGTGTTGATGTGAGAAGTTTCTTTGGTCCTACCGAGTCCAACGTCTGACAGCCTTTCGCTTCCTAGAGGTACGCTTAGACAAATTTTCCAACAGAATTATTGATATTTTCTGATTAATATGCATCTAAAATTCTTACCTGCAAGATCTACCAAGTTCAGAATCGAATATTTAACACTAAACAAGTTAGAAATAATTTATTGAGTGATACCTGTAAGATATATGCATATTCTTATCTTGGCCTTTCACAAAGTTAGCACTGTTTGGTTTATTTTGAATCATCTAAACCTTATTACAAAAATCTTACAATTCTGACTATGGTGTGACTTCTCGAAGAATATACATCTGTATATTTCTCGCTCAGTTTCGTTTGTCCATATTGTCTGACTTTCTCTCCTTTATCAAGAACCTCCATAAATTCTTCATAATTTTGGATTTGAACTGACTTGAGTCCTTCGACATAAGCTCCCATTGAGTTGGACGTATCCTCTCGTATCTTCAGATTGGTCGAGTCTTTGTCAAGTAAATCATTGATGACTTCGTTGTAGATCTCCATGTAAGACACCCAGACTGTGATTTTAGATGAATCATTCTAAACATGAGTACATTCAAATACCTCTGCTGCATAATCGAACAGCTGTTGCACGGCCAAGGAATCAACTCCCAGGTTGACAGAATCGCCTTTCTTGCCGATCATGGTGTGAGTCTTGCCAGATGAAGTCTGGCCGTATGCAAAGATGGTTCCGTTGTATCCATCACAGACTCTAAGAACAAGATCTTTGCAGAACTTGTTGTAGACTTGTTTATTTGTCACTGATTCAGAGAACACATCATCTATGAAAAAGTCAGATCAGAAAAATAGATGAATCCTTACCAAGATAATATCTTTTAGTCATATTGCTATTAGCTTTGATCTCAACGCAGTTATACCTATGCTAATCAATCTTTTGGAATTACACGTTATCCACTGTGATCTTTGCTGCTCTCTCATCGTAAAATGGAGGCCTTAGTCTGACGCAGACTCTTATATTGCTATAATCATGGGTTAGAATTCTTTAGGAACCACGAGGGCTTACCTGAGGTCACTAGCCGTAACCTTTGCTTCTTCAAAAGTATCCTTCATCTATGGAAGGTTAAGAAATAGAGCAGATTTGAAAATCTTACATTTAACTTTTTAATAAATATTAATTGTTCCAATTTTAATTTTAATTTATGGGGTTTTGGGGTTTTGGGGTTTTGGGGTTTTGGGGG